GGGTTAAAATTGAAAAATAAAATAAATAAATTTTAATTATTTTATCGTATTATATAAATGGGGGTGTAGAAAATGTAAATAGGAGGGGGTGGGGTTAGAAAACCGCGTCCATATGGGTTTGGTTTATATTGGTCAATTTTACATGACTATATTGCCCCATGGACCTTCTTTACAATTATCAAGGCCTCTCCCAAAGTGGTGGGGGCAAAGTAGAACTTTCCTTTTTCAATGATATTGAAGCTACATCTTTATGTTGGTTTCATGGTTTGGAGCAAAAAGCTTTGTTTTTTCAAAGTTATGTTTAAAAATACATGTTTATGGGATGTTTGAGATCGCTTATTTGAAACAACTTATACTTTTTTATAGAAGTTTTTATCAACTTATTATAAGTTAGAATGGTTTAACTTCTTCAAAAACTCCTTATTACTGGTTTGGCACCGGTATAAACTGTTTATCCAAACGCTCAAAAGTGCTTATTACCGGTGTCACGCTGAAACAAATCAATGAATTGTTTTTATAAGCAATCCCAAATATCTCCTATGTTTCAAAATAGCAACCGAATAAAATATGTGTCGTTTTAGACATGGTGTGTTCTTTTTAAGTATTATATTTGTGTAAAAAGTTGATAACCAACAATTTCCAATCGGTTACACACGATATGAATCTAAATGTACAATACTCGTAACTCGTATTTTAAACTATTATGATTTTGCAATTACTGCAAACTAAGTAAATATTCTAAAAGATTACATAGACTGTTTCAAACATATTTAAGGAATAGAGTTCTTGACTTTTGATCATGTTTAACTTGCGTAATCAACTTATGCATGCTAAGGGCATTTTGGTCATTTTGTTTCAGGCTAGACTATTTGTCCAGGAGTATAAATAAATAGCATATTTCAAACTTAGATTCTTGATGCGATAAAACTCCAATTTTTGTAAGACCGTAATAAATTGATAAAATACATCAAAATCTTATAAATTTGTCGTTGTTCTTATTTAGTGTAACGATAAAAAAAAGTTCATTTAGTACAACAAACATTGAATTCTCTTTATTTCGTATTCATTTTAGTTGATAAACAGGTTTTCGACGTATGGGATATCGGCTGATTTTGATGTGACATTTTTCTACATAATTAAGATTTATAATATAACTTAACAAGTTGACATCCACATTATCAGTAATTACAAGATATATCATTACTGATCAAATTAGGATTAGAAAATTTAAACTCGAGTTATACTGATCGCGAAAAAATCATCGTGACAATAAGTAGAAATCAAGACAATGTTTATTTCAGTTTGGCAAACATTTTGGCCCCCTGAATTAAAGCTTTTGTGGGCCAAAGATTCAAATCCAAAATTAGACTCCCTTCGATCAATATTGACTTGGGGACGTAACAATGAAGACATTTTGTGTCGATTATGTAGTCTACGTTGGCCACTATCATGTATTGGTGGCTATCCTGATTCAAAATCAGTTGTTCCTGAAACCATATTTGTAGTTGAAAACGATTGTAAAACTACTGATATATGGCAACCGAAGCCTCTTTTGATCCACTAAATTTGATATAGAAAATGGAGCATAAAGGGTAACAAAAAAAGGAAGACTTTGTATTCTCATTTTGTTACTCGAGACACGATAATCTTGGATGTCCCTACCATGACAGCATGAAAGTTTATCTTGTTGAACTGCAATGGATAGCACGACTTCACCTTTCCTCCCACTTTCACGCAAAGACGGTCCCGTTTACGTTCTTTTGGATTTTTGAAAGCAACCCCTCAGGAATTCTACTTTCATCAATTTTCATTTTTTTAAAATTATTATGCTCCATTTTTCTGTTAAATTATTATTTTCAGATGAAATAGAATATTTTGTAATTAAGTTGTATATTGGTTAAGCTATTTATATAGATTAGACTAAGGGATTGTTTATCAACAATAGTTGATAAGCGTTATCTGAAACAAGGGGTCTGGCTAGAGTAAATGTCTCTGCCTCGAATAAGTGTTGTTTGGAAAACAACTTTTTACCAAGTATTTTGAATTTGGTGTTGATTGGCAAAAAAAATGACCATTAAAACCCTATATATGATGAATTGCTAAAAGTAATATAAGTATTTACCAAATGTTATGTATGAATAGTTGTTGAATGACAAAAGTTTATGAATTTCTTAATTGAAATATATGTAGACAAGAAAATAAATTAAACTTTGACATAATAATTTGTGTACAAATCTTAATTTGAACACAATAATTGATTTGCAATTTGATCATGCAAATTAGTCATATATTCATTGTCTTGAGAACTCCATTGCATTTCATCAACTTCAATTTCATTGCTCCCTTCACGTTGTTCTTCAATAGGGATAAACATGGTGTTCTAATCATATTCCATAAATAATCGATCTTGGTTATTGCATTTTCTTATAAAGTTATGAATTGTGAAATAAATAATCATCACATCTTTTTGTACTGGAAAAGAATAAGGAGCCATGTGCTTCAAGATCGGAAATCTTGCTTTTAAGACACTGTTACGCACGCTCGATAATGTTTCTAAGTTGTGCATGAGCATGATTGGACATTTCTTCTTTAGTTAATGCACATCGATGTTGAAAATTTGCTAACCATTACCTCATATTGCGATATGGAGTAATAAATCCCCGGGTGTAAGTATGTGCGGCATCACCAAGATAATATTTATTTGCAATTATATCTACAATTTAAGAAATAAAGAAAAATAATAACCTTTTAATGTTAAGAATAATGATATTTACTTAGATGAAGGAAATGGAAATCATATTAAATGCAACTTCTATTAAAACTCTAGAATTATGTGCAATATCTTCCCATCCAGCCCAAACAAACATGAATATCATACTGAAATCATAAAATGGTAAAATGTTTTGATAGCATTCCCCTCTTCCTTTTCCTCTTCTTCTTCCTTTTCCTCTTCTTCTTCATCTTCCTCTATACCTTGTTTGTGGATCACTGGGCACAACTGCATGTTTTCTGGTTCCATCTAATGCACCTATAATCCCCTGGGAAAAACAAAAAAAATAATAATAAGAAACTTGTAAAAAATATCAAACGATTTAGAAGTCATCAAATCAATAACATAAATCACACGGGACTATTTCTTGGAGGTGTCTAAATCTCTCTGATGTATTTGGTGTTCCACCTAAGGATGTTGGGGCTACAACCTCTCTTGAGAATTCCATCATTTGTCTCGACGCTTCATGAAAAAACAATTATGAATAGTCCTCGAGGAGTGTTGCAATCTATGTTTAACCATTCTAAAGCATTCAATGTGAGAACAATGGTAAGAAAACATCATGTAACACCCGTATTTTCGGGAAATTTAACCATAACGGGTGTAATGTGTTTTTATGATGAACCAATGGATGCGTTACCAGGTGTGGGTGCTTTTTGTAATTTAAGCAAAGTTGGGTGGCCAAAGTATTATAAAGAAAAGATGTTAAGATATTTTGGATGTAAAAACCTTCAAATCCCACCATCAAATGGCAACAAATCCATCTTCTTGCAAATGAAGAAGATACTTGTTGTGATTGAACAAAGAAAATATTGGTATTGATGGATGGAATACTTACTTGAAGATTAGAACTCAAAGTCACCAATGACCTTTCATTTGATCTCAACCAAGGTAAAACTCCAAAACTTTGGGGGGGGGGGGGGGGGTTTCTTCTTGGTCAAAATATTGAATTTACAATGTTGGGAGCTCAATGTTGGAGCTATATAGGTTGTATTGTATCTATCTTCAGCAGATATAAGTTTAAAGAACATATTTTCTTTCTTGAAAAGGTTTAGCCACGTTTTTGGAGCGGCAATGTTCTTTTGGGTTGTTGTCCAAATCTTGTAGAACTCGTAACAAATCACTTGTAGATCGGTTTGAGGTGTGTAATATGTCGCTGGAACCATTGAGCTGTCCTCTACAACTGTATGTTTTGAGGAAGAATTGATTCAGAGTATATGTATGTCAAAAGTCGAGTTTATTAGCACAACTTTGTTTTTTGGTGACATTGAGTAAACAGTCTTCAAATATTCGTATAAAATTGTTGGTGGTGATTCTTGATGAGTTAGAAAGGTCAAAGTGTTGTATAAATATTTTATTTGGAGTTCTTTCATTGATTTGGTGATCACACATGATTTATCTAGGTAGCAAGAAGATTGCGCAAGTTGGATGAAAACTAGGTTTAACATAACCTAGCAATGTGAATTCAAGTTGTTTTGTGAAAATTGTGTACATATCAAAAATGTATATTGTAGAGTCTTAAAGTCTTTTCCTTCATATTTATCAAATGTTGTTGTTTACTTGATGAAATTGCATCTTTTGCATATTTGGTTTAGTAAAATCTTAAGAAATAAATAAATAAATATATATATATATATATATATATATATATATATATATATATTTTGGATAATATTTTATCCATATTTTTCGGTGTTGTTTTGGATACGGAATGCACCCATGATTTGATGTTTTGGGTTTCGTATTTTACTTATATTTTCTTGCTTTGGATACTTGAGTTTTATTCATGCTTCCGGTATTTGAATATCAAGCTTTATTTATAGGTTGTATGAGTATTGAGTTTTGGTTTCATGTTAAGTGTGTGTTTTATTAACGAGTTTTCATCACGAAAATGATGGGTTTTGGGAAAGAAGTTGTTTACATATTTAGTACATTTCATTTCGATGATAGTTATTTAAATAACATTCTTTTAGTTTTTCCGTTTTATACGAATAATGAAAACTTCCTGAACTCACTAGATGTTGGCATGTGGATGGGGTCCTCGTGGGAGCAGTATTAGCAACACTTGACCAAAGTCAAGTGCTAGTTACAGACTCATGGAAGACTTGAACTTTTGGGACGTTTTAATACCATTGGAGATAAGACTTTCGATGAAGCGTTATAGTAACACCAGACTTAATCTAGTTTCGCTCGGATCTAGATTTTAAGTTGTTGACTTTGACTTTATTGTATCCTTATATATAAGTATAAAGAGGTTTGGGGAGAAGTTGTATTGACTTCAGTGTTTTAGCAAAAAATTTAATTTGGTCGATATTTCCAGGTTTTTGGGTGTTTCACATCACCATCTTCTCTTTAAGCACCCACAAAAGTCAAGCTCTGTAGATATTACAACCAAAATTTCAACTATTGCCAGTAGTTTAGAACTGCTAACTCCATTTTTTTTGGTTGGTCGATTAAGCTATTCACTTAATGATTATGCTAGAAACGAACAGCCATATACGATTGATCGAAGAAGCCAAACAGACAATTAAGTCCACCAAGTCATTACCGAACAGGCCCTAAATACAATCACATGTGTATTAATGAAAGGCATGAAAGTGATTAAACATGGAAATATTCGTCATAGCAACTTCTCAAATGTCCTAAATTTGGTTATTTTCATTATACCACATTAAACATTACAAAATTACTTGCAATAACTTTTTAAGTTAAAATAATCAGATTTACATCACATCTATATACTTTACTGATATTGAATAAATAACTGTTTTAAATTCAAATTTATTAAATACTGATATTTTACGTGTTAACGAATGCAAAACCGCCTAGACGAATCATACAAAATTGATTTAATAAATAATTGATAAATATTTATTTTTAATATATAATCAATAATTATATCAACATGATAACTTTTTACCCTTTTCTTTCAAATGAATTTTATGGCAATTATAACAATTGCAACTTCCTTGGGTTCTCAATGTTAAAGTCATTGGGCTTTGGCCCAAACCAGTTTAGAAAATATACCTTGTTTTTATTTCAAACAAATGATTTAACTGATAAATTAGTTGTTAGCTGATAATTAATTGTTAGCTGAAAAACCAATTATATTAATTGATAAATTAATCATTTTTAATAAATTTTGCATTTTAAAATACTATAAGAACATATTACTGGTTTACTGGAAGCACGGTTTTTTATAGACAAGAAAATTGTCAAAATAGGTATGCAGGTCAGAACAGATCGGATTGGATAATTACGTCAACAAATTTTTAAAATTTATAAATAATTAGGAGAATAATCAAATAAAAATCACAAAAAGATTGAGAACCGTAAAAAACCATTAATCATGGTCAGTTACACGTTGGGAAACAACATTGTATCACAAGTTCAAACAACAACCCATAATTACTGATTCTCGCATTTATCAATTTTTTTGTATTTCTAATTTGATTATAGTTCTAAGTAATTAATATATTCATTATGATTATAATAATACAACGTTTTTCAATAATAAATTAATGTCAATAAATACATTTTAATACACTGTGTATTTAGGCAACGGTCAGATACATCAGTTTCTTTTTTCTAACTATTTATTTTAATCCATCTAATTTGACCAACTAAAAATAAAAGATGACTGTTCAAACATTAGGGATGTTCATTTAGACCGTCAAGTTATCATTACCATACCACACTACATTGTAATGTGTGGTTTAAAACATTCATGGTGCAATTTGTTGTTTGTTGTTTGCATCAAACTGTACAGTTTGTGATTTAGAATAGTTAAACCGTATCGCACCACATATTTTTATATATTTTTTAAATATATATTATATATACATAATCATTTATAGAAATGGAAATCGTTAATATATTATCAATTAATTATGTATTAATTTTTCAATTTTAAGCTTTATGTTATAAAATCTTTAATGGAGTTAATTATTTGTCTTTTATCAAACGGCATGATTGAATGATAACCGCGTATAGTAATCGGTTATAAAGCTTGGGGTTGTTTTTAAAAGATGGTGATAAGTTGAGGGGTTAAAGTTGTATTTGTGCTTAATTCTTTTTAAAGTCCACCACCTTATTTGTTTAAAATGGTTTTATGATGCGATATTTTAAATTATCTCATGAGGGTTTGATAAACGTTGATGAGAAGATTCTGTGTATGTTTTTTTGGAGCTCGAGTAAACAGAAACCAAAGAAGGGAGTTAGAAAAGATCGATTATGTAATTCTTAACTGAATTTGTTGCTATTCATCTTCATATCTTCATCTACGTGAATTATAAGGTGAGTTTATTTATAACTTTCATCTTATTTGGGGTTGAAATTAGAACCGTATGGTTCTTTACATGGGGTGATAATAAACTGTTTTGATGCTAAAATTAGCATAAATTGGTATTTTGATTTGATTATCATATGATTGGAATAAGGGTGACATATCAAGAAAATATGTCTTTTGAGATATGGGTGGCGTAACAAGGAGATATGTATACCAGGATTAGGGTGGCATAATAAAACGGAATGAAAAAAATTGGGTTTTGATGAACTGTTTTCTGTTTGTTGCATCCTTGTGATGCGATGACCTGAAGTTATTGCATCTGTGTGATGCGATGAGATGAGTTTATCGCATCCTTGTGATGCGATGAGATGTGTTTATCGTATCTTTGTGATGCGAGGAGTGAGTTTGTCACATCCTTGTGATGTGACAAGATGAATTGATCGCATCCTATTGATGCAACAAGTTGGGTTTATACACCAGTATGATGAGATGGGTCCCCGCACCAGTGTGTTTTGCACAATCCTTGGCTCTCATCACCAAGGAATTCAACAAGAAATTCAGGAAAATGATGTTTGAAAGAAGGGGTAGGGATAACAGGAGCGAGAGGTACAACAAGCAGGCATTTGAGCCCAAGAGTGCTCCTCAATTTATGAAGAAAGAGCAGGAGCTGCTAGAGAAAACGGAGCAGGGCGACAGGTGTGATCATTGCGGCAGATCCGGTCATTTCTCCAAAGAGTTCAAGGGTCCTCTGGTCAAAGACGGTATGTACTACAAAAATAAGTACAAGTACAACAGGACACAGAGGAGCCTAATGGCCGAACAAGAGAATTGGATCTCTAACTCAACCTCTGATGATGAATCTCAGGCGTACTTCTGCGGGATGGTTGTTGATAATGATGATGACGCTGAGGCATCTGACTTTGGCTCTGACTCCCAAGTATGCTCTATATTTGTCTCTGAACATTCTGTACTTGAGCAAAGAATTTCTATTTTGACAAACGATTTCCAAAAACTCCAGCAGAAGCTTTTGAGAGAAAAGGAAAAGAGAAAAACTAATGAAAAAGAAAATAACTTTTCAAAAGAGAAACAGAGTTTCTGACTCTTGAGAAGGAGGAGCTCTCTGTAGAAAATCAAAAGATTTTAAAAGCCAAGATTTCCACAGAGAATGTATTTAAAATATAGTGTTGTGATTTGAAAATGGCTCTAGATGAGAAAGACAAAAAAATTGCTGAGAAAGAGCGTGATAGACTTAACTCTTTGGCTCTTAAAAAATATTTTCAGAAGGAAAGAGAATTTATGCATCAAAGCTTGCAAAGAAAAGAGCTCTTGATCAAAAAATATCAAGATGCTCAGTAGGTGTATGAAAAAATTAATGCTCAACAGGACAAAACAAGGTTAGGTTATGTAGACCTAGACCTTTTTACCTAGAAGAAGAAATCGTCCCTCGAATCTGTCTTTTGTTTAGGAAAAGAGCAAAAACCTGATTTTCCAGCTCTACATGAAGCCTGTCCTTTTAAAAGATCAAAACTTGAGGATGGAACCAGAGCAAGGAGGCTAAAATTCAAAAATACCTCTTACACTTCTATCAAAAGTATGCGTCAACCAAAACAAGTAAATTTAAAAGGCATACAGAAGGATGATAAATTCATATCTGAACTAACAGAGACAAGGGATAGAAAAGTTTCTAAAAAGGATTTCCTAGAAACTCTGGATTCGTGTTTATTAAATGAGTTCATAGAAAAAATGAGACAAGTCTTTGAGCAAGATCTACTTGAAGCTCTCGATTACAGCTCCATGTCTCATCAAACAAACCAGAGGAGATTTCCAAAAATTATTTTAAATGTAGCTCTTCTATGCAAAAGATGCAGAAGGCTTCGACATTTATCCATGGGAATCTCAAGATTCAAATCAATTGACAGATCTCTCTGATGAAGAATTTTTCAACCAAAACTCAGACGAGATTCTTCAATCCTTAAAAATAACACAAGAGCTTAATGAAAACTCTAACATCCCAAGTCCCAAACAAGATTTTCTCGACTCTGACTCTGAGCCAGAGGAAGACATAGATACATAGCATCTTGAGACTGAGATAGTGGTGTCAAGACCAAAGGTTAATAAACTTCCAAATGGGATCCCTCTTAAATCTGTTCCAATTACAGAGCAGAGGAAAAAGGTTCCCATGTGTCCTGATTTCATGGATATGTGTTTGAAAGCTAAATCTTTCCTTGAGCTAGAAAGAGAGAAAAGAGCAAAAGAGCAAATATCTAAAACATCTAAATCAAAAACTTCTAGTTCGATCTATTAAAAGCCATAAAATTCACTCGAGAACAGAAAGGTAAATGGTCTGCTAATGTTTAATTTAATCTCTTTGTTTCAGAGAAGCTTTTGAAGGCTAAGGGAAAGAAAAAGGAACAAGAGAGGGCAACAAGAGAAGACCAAGGCTGGTTTTAAAATTCAATCTGAACTAGACAGAAAGTTCACTAGAACGACTAAAGCTAGGAACGATTGTAATAAAAAGAATCCCAAGTTTTATGAATCTAATGAATCTTTTTGTCATCAAAAGTGTATTCATAATTGCAAGTGTCTATCTCCGTTGCGGCAATTAAAACAGCACATGTAAAGTCTCAACTGTATTATCTCTGTGTCACCTAAAAGAAATTTTCCAAAGACCCAGAAGAAGCAGGCTTCTAAGGCCAAACCTAGCAAACCAGCTGCGACTGAAAAACCAGGTGCAAAGGCAAAACCTTCGTGCAAAAAAGAAAATGAGTCTCCTAAATTTAACTTTAAAGGACCCATTATGAAATGGGTACCTAAAAATCTTTAAATTTGTTTTGCAAAAATAGCATGTTTACATTTGGTACCTTGATTTTGGATGCTAAAGGCACATAATTGGTAATAAAAAGTTGTTATCCTCTTTCAAAGACAAATTTAGAGGAAATGTAACCTTTGGTGACAAGAAGCAAGGGCAAATCAAGGGT